GAGGCAGATAAACAAACTTCTTTTTGACGCAATGGTTGTGTGTGTATATATTGCATATATATATATATATTTAAACACACACGCACCCAATCTCTGATTGATTGGGCCATTTAGCCCTCATGCACGCACGGGTGAGCTGATTGACACTGGGACAGACTCACTCCTCGTTTCGAACAGCGCTCCGGGATCTTTAACGTTCACCTGAAAAGGCAGATGTGAGCCTTGGTTTTAACGTCTCACCTGAAGGAGCGCACCTTTGACAGTAACGCAGCGCAACCACTGCGCTGCATTGGTGCGACAGCCCGAAAGATGTGAGCTCCAAGTCCTGAACGCGGGGCTCGAACCCATAAATCTTCTGACGCAGAGGCGAGAGTGCTGCTAACCGAGCACTTATAAGGCCTTTGGCCGCACGCTTTTTATTTGCAGCGATCGACTGCTGTGTCACGTTTCTCCTTCCTCCCGCCCGTTCGCCCCCCCCCCACCCCACGCCAGTGCGAAATCGCAGTGCGCTCACATGCTGAGGCGAGCGCAGAGCAAAAGCCAACAGAAAAAAAAGAGAGGCAGCAGCCTGATGTGACTCCTGGGAGGGTCTGGCCAAATACAGATTTAAAAAAAAACACAACCGAATCCGATCTTATTTTCTTTTGGAAACCATAACATGTATCAGGGTGCAATTAATAGAACATGCTGTACCTGTTAAACAACCGTGATGCTCAATGGCTGTGATGGTCATTAGCTCTGGTACACAATATCCCGGCTGTACCTTAATGATTAGATGTTATTACATGGCGTGCTTGCCACTGTCAACCAAGTCACTTGATTTGCAGATAATCATGATTCAGAAGGGGTGAGTTCGTTTTCTTCCCCCCGCGCCCCCCTCGCTCTCTCTCGCTCTCTCTGTGTGCGCTTTACACCATCCCTTAGCCAAGACAGAAAGAGTCGGCAACAAGCTCCCGGTCTCTTTCGATGTCATTGCCCATCACCCCACTCCTCGCCAGGCTCCCAATAGCTCCCCGGTTCCCAAAGGATTGATTTCAAGGTCCTCACCCACCCATTCCCTATGAATCTCTTTACGCCCTAACGCCTCTCTTATCTCTGTGATCTTCTCCTACACCGCTCCTCTGCTCGCCCCCCTCGGCTGGGCTAACTCACGCTCCCCCCACGCTCCCCTAACCTCTGGAACTCCCTTGGACACGCCTTTCCCGCAAACTGAGGTCGAACACGTCAAAACCTCGCCTCCGGGAAATGCCGTCCTGGCAATTTACACATTTCCAGAAAGGACAGTAATACCTGCGCACAGCTAGTTAGAAGGTAAACACTGACGAGGATTACCTTTTTCAGAACAACAATTGATCTACCTTGGTTTTCTGCAGAAGCCCAATACGTAGCAGGGAAGGTAAAGGTTTCATTCAGCCAAACACGAGACCGTCTCATTTACTGTCAATGGCCAATAAAGTACTTAGAGGAGCTGTGCACTGGTGGGGCCCATTGTATTATATATTTTCTTTAGGACTGCAGTGTAAATTAGAAATTTGTCAACTGCACACACACACATAGCAACTTAATTACTGGACTTAGTTAAGAAATAGCTTGCTCTTATAACTGTGGTGATGTTGGCATTCTGGAAGGATGAGATCAAAAAGGCTGAAGGGACCTACTTTATTCGAACCACTTCTCTGAAATTAAACACGTTTCTGCCAATCGAAAGGATTAAGCATTATTAGGTTGGAGAGGAGATTTAGAGACAGATTATCTAAAGAGTCTCATGAAATATTGGATGGGTGGACGAGATTGACTGGGATAGATGGGGCGATTCTGCGCGAGATTGCTGCCTTATTTCTAAGTTTCTAAGTTGGCATGCATTAGGCATTTTGAGGGTGTTACACATTCCACAAATTCCCTCTAACGCAATAGATATTTGGAAATTGTTCATGAATACTTGAATCTGAAAAGTGGCATTAATTTCCTTTTGTAATTCATCAGGCGAAAATATCCATTTCCTAACGTTTGGTGTCTGCGCTGTCAAAGTTCAGATGAGAAGATGTAAGAGAGGACTTCTTTCTCTTGACTCACGGAATCTACTCGCAGCGCTCGTGATGGATGGCAGAAGTTGACCCTTGTTACACGGGCTACTTCATTTGGGTCTCTACTCTGTGAGAAGACACGCTCCAAACACTGCGAGTTTTAAGTTCAATCCAAAATAATAATAATAATAATAATAATCTTCCCATTCGATATAGCGCTTTCCACGTCTTCGAGAACGTTTCTGATCTAAACGCAGAAGCTGCAGTTCTTTCAGATCCCCAGAAGATGCACCTTTATTAAATAAGGATGTATTAACCGTAGTAGCAAAGATTCCATCCCTTGCCCCATCCCCACACACTTTCCCCAGATCTGGTCATTACTGTAAATTTAATGGCAGCATTTAAAACGACAGGGAGAGAGAGCAGAGAGAGAGAGAGGGGGGGGGGGGGGGTTGGGGTGGGGGGGAAGGAATCATAGAAGGGCAATGAAATGCATGTGAGATTTTAATGAATAAAATGTTCTCCCCTGTCCACGAGACTTGAGTCACGTGCCACAGAATTCGAAGGCAGCCGTTCCATCTTGGGGAAGGCAATCTCTCAATTCCGATCAAATGCTCCATAAATAATTCCAAGCAGTTCTGCAAACTTAGCTTCCGGTCGGGAAACACCCTTTTCTCTACAGTTCAGCTGCTTCGAGTGTCCTTTTTTTTATTAAACACGGCAAATTGCACCGAATGGTGAACAAGAGAACCCCTTCTCTTTCTCCACCTCCCCACCCCCGGTTGCTGATAAGAGTCACAAAATACACACTTAGCAACAATTTTCCGCTCGTAAAATCTTGTTAGCTCCAGAATGAGAAACGTCACGGACAGCTGGAATAACAGCGCAGCTCACAACACGGCAACTCGAGGAGTGTCGAGGAAAGGTGACGGACGCCTCCGGAAACCAGGACACTGGTATAAAAGGCACAGTTCGATGGCGTAGCTGGGGAGGCAGAGGCATTCTGAAAGAGTCAGGCCCTTATTTCATCCAATTAATCTCTTTCATGGCTGTCAATTGCAAAGTAACTAACTCATATATTGCGAGTCACCAGACACATACAGTAAAGTATCAACCCATCGTTGGTTGGAATTCATGTTAGTGATGCTCAGTAAGAAAACCTTTGCTTTTCCTGGCCCCACTCGTTACAACCGCTCACCTGACGGATTTCCCCCCAGGTATGTTTCTTCCCATCCCACTTTTCTTTGCCCTGTAAAGACCAGATGACCTGCCAGTGAAGCACATCTTTGAGGCTACCGTTAATTGTGAGAAACTTCGCTAAGGATGAATGAGATAAAGTCTGTGAAAGGTGATGGTAAAAGGCGCGTCTCAAGATCAACAGATCTTATTTGAACAAAGATTTGTGAAATCCCCGCTTTATATTCTTTGAAATAACCGTTTCCCGGGGGAGATCACAGTCATTCGAGACGCTTTACGTCCTGTGGTGGGATTGGTTTCAAGTTGCCTCCATTCGCTTGTCTACATTCTAGTCGACAATTTGCCATTTTCTCGGATCGATTTTAACTCAGGAAACCAACTCGAGAGTATTTTTAACACGGTGACATGCGAGACTTTGCCAAAGCTAAAGTTTGTGTTCAAACAGATCAAAACCTTTGACGCGAACATCAGGAGCTCTACTCAAAATGACCTGGACAGGCAATACAGTATTTTTATTCAATCTTTTAATATTTTACGATTTCTTTTTTTCAAAGCCAGGGTACTGAGATTTTTTTTCTCTGATTGTACTAATAAAGTCCCCTTCATATGTAGAAGCACATTACCTTCCTGTATTTGACATCTGCTTTCCAAAGGAAACAGGAAAAGGGGATATCAGAGCCCCTAGGAAAATAAAATTTTTGCAAAAATGTACCACTTTGATTTTCGCTTTCCCATCAACGAGGTAAATTTCAAGAAATACAGCGAATGTTCACCTAACCTTTGCTCTGTTGACATTAGACCACACTGCTAATGACTGATTGTTAGCAGATGGCATCGGTTTTCAAGTTAAAAAAAAAAGCAACTCGCCTTTTATTTTAAGGAAAAGTTTTTTGTAGAATTAAATTAAAATTTTGAAAATTCTGCTAACTCTTCTGGCCCACACTCTCTCTCTCTCTCTCTCTCTCTCTTCCCCGCTCTCTCTCTTTTTTCGTTGAACACCCAACTGTTTTCTATAACACGATTTGGATGTTGAGGGCATAACAGCATAGCTGTGCCATTCACTGAAAATGTACTTGTTCAGTCCTAGGAGTTACATACAGCACAGAGGGAGGCTATGCGGTTGACTAAGTCTATGCTGATGTGAGCTCTGCTCATGAGCTACTCTAATCTCATTGCCCTTCGCTGCTCCCTTTAACAACAGCAACAAATTACATTTGTATAGCGCCTTCCGCGTCGGGAAATATTCAATATTTTTTTCAGTATTCAAGAATATTTTTATCTTGTTCCTCTTCAAATGTGAATCCAGTCCCATTTAAATTTTATTCCAGTCTCCTCCTCGACAGCTACTTGTGACAAAGCATTCGATGCCCCCCTACCTCATATTTAACACTGATGATAATCCTGACTTTATGCCACCTTGTTAGAGATTGATCGGCCAGTGAGAATAATGCACTGGTTCTTTCAATACCCTTTAGAAGTGGTTAACTTTTTCTGCTCCACTGAAAACAGTCCTGAATTCCCAAGCCTATCAGAACTACTGTATAACTCCTCAAACCTGCCCCGTGCCTTTAACCACCATGGCTATAATATGCTTGACCATATATTGGGAGTGTTAGCATTGGAGAATGCTTTCTGAAATTGACGTTAAACTCTAGTCAACCAGGTTCTAACCGGCCAGCTGTTAACGCAAAAGTATGAGCCCGATGTTAATCCGGGATTGTGCCTTTGGATTGTTAAAACAAAACACCTTACAGCTTTTTATGTTTGTTTTGAATGTAGGACTTTACGACAAATGCTCTTCATCATCCCGTGACAGAGGATGGGCAATTGGAATTCAGTCCGTAAGTGAACTGGGCAACAGGGACCCTCGGTTCTACTTCTCTCTAAAAACCGATCGAGCTCGCAAAGCCACCACCATCACCGCCCACGAGACCTACCGCATTAACCAGTGGACGCATTTGGCGGTGACGTACGACGGACGAAGGATGAAGCTCTACGTGAACGGGGCCCAGGTGGCTATAAGCAACGAACAAGTAGGAGACATCTTCAGCCCTTTGACCAGAAAGTGCAAAGTGTTGATGCTGGGCGGAAATTTCTTGAATCAGAACTACCGCGGTAACCTGGGCGACTTTAGCGTGTGGAGCAGAGGAAGAACTCAGCGGGAAATAATCCAAGACATGAGACAGCACCCTCCAAAGGGTAGTGATCTGATCCTTCATGACAGCTTTGACGATGTGAAGAGCCATTGGTTAACGGTGAAAGACGGCAGCTACCCCCAAACAGAGCCCAAGCATCACAATGAGTGGTCGTCAGGGACCATCTTGGAACCTTCCCCCTGTGGCCAAACAGTGTGCGATAACGTCGAGGTCATCACGAACTACAACGAGCTCTGGAACTTCCGCAGGCTAAAGACTGTCCGCTACAGGGTGGTCAACATCTACGACGACCACCACCGGAAGCCCACGGTCACCAAACAGCAGATCGAGCTCCAGCACCGGCATCTGAACGAGGCTTTTTGGCGATACAACATCACCTGGGAGCTCACGGTCCTGGACGTCAAGAACTCGTCGCTGAGAAACCGCCTCATCCTGGCCAACTGCGACATAAGCAAAATAGGCAACGCGGTCTGCGACTTGGAGTGCAACCACGTGCTGACAGGAAACGATGGCGGAGATTGCAAACACTTCAAGTGTTTCTCTTCGTCCAAGAAGCAAGGCGACGGGGTGTGTAACATGGAGTGCAACGCTGACTTGTATAATTTTGACGAAGGCGATTGCTGCAAACCGGAGGTGACGGATGTAACCAAGACGTGCTTTGATCCCAGGTCACCCCACAGGTAGTCTTCAGAATTATTTGGGGTCACGAGCGAATTTGTTGCGAGTTTGCCTATCTGGAGGCTGAATTCAAATGATTGCCTCTGTGGGTGGGCGGGGTGGGCGGGGTGGGGTTAAATATGGGATGACACAACAAATAATAATTCTGATTTATGAGAGTAAGCGAACTGTACCATCCTCTTGTCAGTCAGTCGGTCAGTTAGTTTATGCCTCCACCTTTATCGGAAGTAATTGTTCACAGAGGATTTGTGTGGGGAACTCGGGGGATCCGGTAGCACCCTCTCGCTGACAGAACCCGATCTGACTCCGGCAGCTTATTTACAGTTCTTGGCCATGATAATAACTGTATGAAAGATGTGTATTGCTATGTGGGAGTAATGTGTGTTGTGTGTGTGCCGTAGTGCCAGGGGCGTTGAATGCCATAATACTGTCAACATTGGATCCATCAATTACCAGACTTGTATTTGGAAGCTAATGCCTTTCAAGCCCTAAAATTTCAATCTATCCGAGAGACACGTTAATATTGCCCAGTAAGATTTGTATTATTTATTATTTTTGGACATGTTTTCAAACAGAGAAGCCTTTTTGAACAAGTATCCGGGCTTAATACCAGATATATTAAACACATCGTAATGTCATGTTATTAGGATTTTCAAACGAGCACAGTCAAATCCAGTGATTAGGGATTTACGGAGATTAGCAAAGTGTTTAATCTTAATAGGATATGCTCCTGTACTGACTACCCTGAACTTTTTAACTGGGATCAAGAAGATTTTTTTAATAACCAGTATTTCATTCTCTGGCTGAACGGCAGGCATGATTTTACGTAATTATTAATTGAGCTCATGGTCTAAGCTGACCTTGCAATGCAGTGCTGGGGTCTTTCACGTGAAACGCTAGACCAAAATCCCGCAACACTGTTTGAAAAAGAATAGGGAGTTTCTCCTGGCGTCGCGGCCAATAATCCCCCAGATAAAATTGGTCATTCACTTTGTGGCTGTTTGTAGGACCTGGCTGTGCGCAAATTAGCTGCCGCGTTCTGCGTTCAAACTACACGGGTACTGAACTCTCCGGAAATGCGGTGAAGCAGTTTGGGATGTTTATCGTTACAGGCGCTATCATTTTAAAAGAAATCCAAGCAAAATAGGTTGTTTTTTTTCCTCTCAAGTGCGCAAATCATATACTGTAATCGTACAATATCAAACCGTTTCGTAGTACGCAACTGAAAGATTTGTAGCCTCAGACACACACGCAAAGTAGCAGGTCTGTTGGCCACCAACAAAGAGGTCAAAAAGGGTTGGGGGCCAAACTGAGTATCAATGTGAAGATGTGGAGAATAAAACAGCAATGGAAGATTACAGCGAAGGTTTAAGAGGATAATACCAGAAGCTGGCAGGTTCCTGATATCAGCGTAGAATGGATTGGTTGGGGACTTTTTCGCTAGTGTTTAAAGCTATGAAAGGGTTCAATAAGATTTAACATGAATGGACCGTTGCCAATGGTCTGTCACTTGTGATCACAAATAGTGGAGAGCGACTAAAGGAATCAAAATATGAATTCAAGAGGAATTACTTCACAAAGAGAATATTCCGCGAGATTGCGGATCTCGCTGCCCGAAGCGGTGGTTGAATCAGATAGTGTAGATGCATTCAAGAGGAAGCGAGACCTCTGCATGAGGGAGTGGAAGGTCGTGGAAGGGAGTAAGAAATGGGTGGAGATTGATATGGAGCATATACACCGGCATAGACCAATTGGGCCGAGTGGTCTGTTTTTGTGTTGTAAATCTTTCGTGATTTATTACACCGACAATGCCTCGTACACAGGCTTTTGTTGTAAGCGCACATTCACAGGAGGACATGAATAGACTTATCTTAAGTTTGTGGAGTCCTGTAGCTCAGTGGTTAGAGCACCTGGGTTTGATTCCCGGCAGGGCGAAACCTTGGGCAAGTTTCCTTGCTCCACACGCCTGATAATAATCCATCAATAAAAATTTGGTCACTTCAACCCACGACTGTTTGTGGGGACGCTGCTGTGCGCAATTGGCTGCCGCGTTTCGCCCACAAATATACAGTCAATTCACTTCACAGTCTATTCTGTGACGCGCTTTGAGACGTCGAGAAGGCGCGAAAAGTGCTTTATCAATTGCAAGGATTATTTAAGTTTAAACCTACATACTGTAGAGGCTTATAATAATTATTTGTACGTTTGGTTGACTTTCTTTTTCTTCCACTCCAGTTCTGCGGTTTCAATACAATTGTTATCAGTTTATCTGAGTGATAGGGGTGGAATCCACTCTGGAGCCCACTTAAATACATCAGTGATCAGATCAGTTTGGCTCAGATCTGACTGACTGTTGACCGAATGCCTTGAAACAGTAGCACTGCTATTGTAGTCTAAAGTCCCCGAGGGAGAGTGATAGTGCAGTTAAAAACCCAGAGCTTTGGAATTGTAACACGTATCTCCCTGACCAAATAACACCTGGATTGGGGACGTGGGAGAAAAGAGAGAGATCTGTTCATACCCACCTCCCACCTCCGCCGCCCCATATATGAGTTAAATGTAGTTGTGGATAGACAAGGTTAAAGAACCCGTGGCGCTAGTTGAAAAGAGAAGGGAGTTCCTCTTAACGTGTTAGCCAACAACCCCTCCCCTAGATAGGATTGATCGTTCACTCACTTCATGGCTGTTTGAAGGATATTTCCGTGGGCAAATTGACTGCTGTTTTCATGCCACAAAACACACGGTCACCGTATTTTACAGGAAAATCCTGCATAGCGTTGAGACATCCACCTGAATTGAAGGATGTTATATGAAATGCAAGGATAATTCTTACTCGCATCACTCCTTTGAAACCACCCTGCGCTGAACTGGAGTCAGTCTTGCAGAATTATTTGCTTAACAAAAATAAGACATCAGATATTATCTGGGGGTCATAGTCGGGGTCTAATAATAGCAATAAACCTGCCATCTTCTACTGATTATACCTCTGGCCCGAATTAATAAGAGTCATTTCTGTGCAAATGCTTTCAACAAACCAATATAACTGGATCTTCTGTCAAGCCACAGCAAATACAATTACATGTTGTCCTTTTGTACTTTCTATGGCTAACATGAAGTAATCCTTCACAATGTATTTAAGGATTAAGTTGCTTCAAGCTCCTCACTTCTGTGCAATAGTTTATTTGCGGTTCGGCTTATCTCCACCACAAAGTTTCTCTAGGGTTTTTTTTGTCCCGTTCCTTTTAAGTCCCCCCCTCAGCTTAGCGTTGGTGCGTGCCCACATTTTGTCTGTTGCGAACTCCCATTATTCACGGTGCAGCGAGGTTTACACTCGTCTACTCAGCGTTCTGCAGGGCCAACAAATTACATTAAAGTCACTGAGCTCATCCACACCTCCGTCTTTTCGACGCAACCCAGAAGGATTTGAGTTAATTGATAGCACTGCATTGGATTCCTCCCTCTCCTCCCCTCCTCAATCACCCCCTCCCCTATTGAAGACATCTTTCGTTCCCCGATAATATTCCGCTATCACTAAGTACTTCCAATGCTTCCCTATCCACACACACACACACACACACGCATGTACATACATAACACAAATGGTCCACTTTTGTCTCCTTTTAAATTGCAAGTGTTGAATGGTCCAAGTGAACAATCCTATTAAAACCCCTCAGACAATTGCAACCCTGATTGGCACCAAAATTAAAAAAAAGGAAAGAATAGACGGCTTTGTTTCAAGGCGATTTGACTTGAAAGTTCCTCTGAAGGGAAGGGAAACGAGGAAACGCATCCCAGAGTGAAATGTTATCACTCTCGTTTCATATTTACGGTCCCGTTTTTTTTTCTCCTTTGCTGCGTCAAATTGAAGCGACAATAAAATAAATCTGCAATTCGAGTCTCTGTTACAATAAACGCCGCTTCCAAGTGGGCTCGAGGCAAGTACTCTTTAATAAGAGGTTGCGGAGGTGCTGATCTCTTTACTGTAGCAGAAGCGAGCACTTTAAAGGAATCCCACATATTGTAAAGAAATCTAATGTTGTGGATTGAATTCTCAGAAGCCCTGAGAGGAAGGAAAGTCTGTGCTTCAGGTCTGTTCGGCGTGTTGTTTGAGGACTGAGTGACTTTATGTTACAAGCCGTCAGTTTAGGCCAATAACTTCAAAACTTACAGCAACCGTGACGACCAGGCATGTTGTAGGCTGCACACAATCCAAACTATTTATTCAGTTACACTCGCACACGTCTTAAACAAACAGCTTTATTGGCACGAGCTACTTAACATGACACAGGCAAATCCCCCTCTACCGCCCCGTCATCACCTATGCCTGTGAGTTACTTAATGTATCACACCGAATAAGACAATGTAAGACTAGAGTTACCTCAAGGAACGAGGAATGCTGTGATTTAATTTGACGATTCCAGATTTAAAGTACGAATTCAATTAGCCCTGAGAATTCGCCCGCAAAATATACAGCCAATTCACTTGACAGTATATTCTGTGAAGCTCTTTGGGTATAGCACGTTATCACGACGTGATAAGGTGCTATATCCAATGCAAGGATTATTATTATTATTATTATTTTGATTATATCAGCTCACGTAATTCAATCTCCTAAATAAAACCGACTTGATTCTTCCCAAATGGACAGCTCAATTTTAAGATGATTGCATGTAGGAATGGATTTGACGTGAATTTCTTTGCCCTCTGCTCTATTTTCAGACTTGACTATGCCCTGTATGTCCACATGCCTCTTGCACTGGATTGCATTGGGGGATGGGTGGGGGAAGAGGGAGGTAAGAAAGTGACACAAGATGTGGTTGTTTTAAAAAAACAATGCCGTTGGTGGTGGGAGTGGGGTGGGTGGTGGGGGGCGTCAGGGTGTGGTGGGGGGGGGGCTGGAGGGGGCGGAGTGGTGGTGGGGGCGGGGGAGAGGGTATTGGGTGAAAGATGACCAAAAGCGGAGTCAAAAGAGCTTGGTCTTGAGACAGATCTCGAACGAGGC